GGGGGGGGGGGGGTCGATGAATGGCTGCATGTGCTTTATAATGGATGGCTGAATGAAAATAGTGATTGTTCAACCACACGGACTTTAAATTTATGACCGTGATGGCTGAAAGTAAAGCAGAAATGGCACAGCATGAAAGTTTTGTTCACTGATTTACCCAAACGAGCTCATGAATAAAAGGGCGCCATATTTTAAACTGCAAGAAACGAGATCGAACTACATAAATAAATTATGTATTTTGTTAAAAATTTCTCATTTCTCCTGATTTGTTGTCACTACATCGTGACATTTGTATATACTAGTGAAAATAGTTTGAGGATCAGTGATAATAATAATAATAACAATTAAACTGTAATGATAAAAAACAATGTTCAATTCATCTTAGGCACCAAAGTAATAAAGAAATACTTCAAAATAATATGTATAATTATTTTATTTTTTTGTTTTGAGGATATGCAGCCGACTTGGTTGTCACGGAGTGTGTGCGAAAAAGCAAGTGAACAGTATTGTTAGTTATATTAAAGTGCAAAGGTCATAGAATGGAATATGCGTTTACAATCATGTTGATTATAAATTTGCTAGTAACCTGGTCTCTGTATTAGTTGTGTCTTTAATGACTGCTATATTAAAGTGCAAAGGTCATAGAATGGAATATGCATTTACAATCATGTTGATTATAAATTTGCTAGTAACCTGGTCTCTGTATTAGTTGTGTCTTTAATGACTGCTATATTAAAGTGCAAAGGTCATAGAATGGAATATGCGTTTACAATCATGTTGATTATAAATTTGCTAGTAACCTGGTCTCTGTATTAGTTGTGTCTTTAATGACTGCTATATTAAAGTGCAAAGGTCATAGAATGGAATATGCATTTACAATCATGTTGATTATAAATTTGCTAGTAACCTGGTCTCTGTATTAGTTGTGTCTTTAATGACTGCTATATTAAAGTGCAAAGGTCATAGAATGGAATATGCATTTACAATCATGTTGATTATAAATTTGCTAGTAACCTGGTCTCTGTATTAGTTGTGTCTTTAATGACTGATATTTAGTAGTTCAGTACAAATTTATTTTAATTTTCATTTTTTGACACTACTTAACCCCCATGCTTACTGAAAACCCACAAAGTACGATTGTTTTGATATATTTTTTTTTTTTTTTTTTTTCAGGGGTTGGTGCGCAAACAACGGTAGAAGGAGAAGGTAAGAAATGAATGACACTGGGTGCAGCTCAGACATTTTCTACTACCTTAAGAAATTTTCCAACAGCTTTGCAAATTATGTTTTTGAGGCGTTGTATACAAGATACTGTAGAACAGGTTATTTTGAAAGCAAATTTTCTCTAATTCGCACATTTTATTATTCGCATTCTCCTTGCAAACGAATTACTAGTATTTCAACTTTGAACTTTCATTTATACGTGTTTGTGAATAAATTTAAAACAGAATTTTATTATTCAATGCCTGTTACTAATTCACACTTTCACTAGCCAACACATGTCCAAGGATTATCGCTATTATTACTGCAGTTCACACTCAGCGTGACAGCCGAAAAAAATACAGAAAACAATGCATCGGTATTTAGACACTGTTATCATTCCGTATGTGACATCAACACTCCAGAAGCTGAGTCACTCAAAAAAAACAAAAACCCCTGGCAATATTTGATGTATTCAGAGCACATCGACGTGAAAATTTTTTGAAAAACTACTCGACAACAACATCACTACTGTGTTTGTTTCGGCCTGTTGTACCAATCAGCTGCGACCCCTTGATCTTGCCGTCAACAAAGCTTTCAAGGAGTCGCTGAAATCTAACTTTCAAACGTGATACACTGACTGTATTTTGAAGGAACTGCAGAGGGAGAAATATTTCTGATGTCAAAGTCAATTTTTGTCTTTTGGAATTAAAACCACTTCATGCTAAATGGTTAGATGAAGCCGTGCAATCTATTGAAATCGCCGGGAATTGTGTACACAGGGCTACCAACTTGCTGGCATAACAGATCCCCTGAAGCCACTTCGCGAACTAGTGGAATAAGTTGACAGTCACATGAATATTGCTGTTGTTCTTAAAACCAGAATTCAGATGAATATGTAACAATTTCATTCACTAGTCTTGTGTTGCTAGTATAACATATTCAGATGGAAAACGGAATGTTTTTATAAATTTTACGGTGCTGTCACCTATTTTTCAAGTTTTTAACTATTACCAGATTCTGCCGTAAATTCACCCATCTGAAAAATCGCCCTTATTTGGGGTTCAAAATTTCAAGAAATTTCAAATAAAAATGAACGCAACTAGTGGTAGCGCAATTCGGTCATGCTGCGTTTCACAATTGTTAATTATTACGTAGTAATGATTATAATAACGTGCAAACAATAAATTCATTGAATTGTTATGAAATGCAAACAAATTCAACTTATTTCATCGTAAGCGCATCATTCCGGTCACATTTTAAACGCTTGATGCTTGAGTTTTGACCTGGAACGATGTTCTTTGACCTGACAGGTCAAATCTCTAATTAACCAATCAAAATGATGGATGATACCAATGTGTTCAAATTACTATAGCTCATTTAAATACTAGTATGTTAATGTTATTGAATGCAGCACGGAAGAGATTTGCCGATGTTGTATGACCTTTTTGCTTGGATTTTGATGGGAAAGAGGCATGATTTGTTTTTAAATAAAAAAATTAGTTGTTTTCAAAAGATAAACTGAGCATTTGAAGAATAATTTAATATTGTTTACAGTGATTGTCGAAATGAAGCTTACCCATTCATGCTAGTCAATAAACATCATACTCTTGAATAGGCGTCAATGACTACGGTAAAACTTTTGGGCATCAGAAAAGCTTAAAATAACACGTTAAAAAACTGCCAAAAAATCGCCCTGGGATTTTTTGATCCCATTTTATTTTTTTAAAAACCCAAACTGCTGTTTAATGACCCAGGGCGAATTTACGGCAGATTCCAGTATTTGTGTAAACAAATATTTGTTGGCTGTAAATACATTTTTTTAACAATGAAATAAAAACATTAAATAAATACTTAATGAATACTTGAATAATGAATGCAAGTGTTGTGTGGTGTGCTATGTACGTCGGCAGTAATACAAAATTAATAACCAAAATCAAAATAAATAACCACTAAACAAAATTTTCAGGCATTTTAATTTTAGCGCAGAACCATGCAAAAATTTAACTGCGCAAATAATTTCCCGTTCTACAGTAATATGCAATTGGTAATCATATGCTAACCACAGAAAACTTGGTACCTTATATAATAATAATATGAAGTTATTACGAGGATACCGAAAAGTATACACAAAGACAGTACAGCAACTGTATACTGTCTGAGTGCATACCTTGCACTAACCTTAATAATATACATCTTTTCCTCCCTTCCTTATTTGCCACTTCTGTTCTTTAACATCATTAGAAATATCAACACACCAAACATCCTGATTTTACCAAACTTTGTCCATATCGCCTGATATCATAAGCTCAGCAATATTAAAAAACATGTAAACGTAAGGTATGAATTGCCCTGTAATGTATCAGTAGATATGTTTGTCAGAGAAATAAATCCACAAACTCTAATCAAACATAATTTTTCCAACAGGAACAACATCCGAGGAGTTAACTGCAGTCACGCTGGTAGTCGACCCTTCAGGTGAGTACAGGGGTTAATATTCATGTTAGCAGGATGATATATTAGCATTACACACCAGGACATTTTGTTTTTTCCAAGGGGTTTTCGGTCACCTTTTGCCTGAGCTAAAATATTTGTTTTCGGTGACCCACTTCAGAGGGATGCAGACGTTTTGATTTTGCTACATTCAGGCCATGGGTTACAGCGAGAATCTATACAGCTTGACAATTCAACATGAGCAGCGTACAGCATTTTGTTTGCACGATGATTCACTGAAACAATAATTACAATCTTGTCAGAAGTACAGCCAATATAATATTGTAATATTCAGGATCTGTCAACAAATGGATGGTATGTGTTTATCAACATTGGTCAGTGTCTAAGCAGGACTACATGTACCTCAAAAATGTTTCTAGTAATTATTGGCTACCCTTTCTTTGGAGTTCACAGATTCATACTAGCGATTATCATTTTCCAAAAAAATTATTAATATTGTTCATATTTAAAGGGTGGCAGTCGTCGTGTCTCGTCCTGTTCGATATGGGACTCATAGCAACGTATACAACACATGTAAAATACATTGTTTATTTACACGAAATTCGAACACAAGATGCGCAAAGAGCATCGTGCTTTAAATTTCATTGCAACACCTATCACATCCAGAATGTCATGCTGCGTCACTTTTCTGATGATATAAAAAAAATACATATGTCAAATTTATTTCTAACATACAATTTGCTTTTCAACTAAATCTTAAGTTATACTATGTATTACAGCAGCAGCATCGCAACCTTCGCTGAATACTCCAATTGACGAACCCACAAGTGAATGTAATAAGAATTCTACCTTTTGATATACTAGTAGTTTATATTGCTTCCATCTGTATTGTTTAGTACATTGCCAAGTCATATGTCACTTATGTCCAGCAAATCAATCCAATGCCAATTTCCCATTGGTTGTGAGATTGCAACAGATGTATAAGTTTGATGAAAAAGGATGTCAATTATAAAAAATTATAGAATGCCTCTAAAATGTAACAACTATAGAATGTTACGTCATTGGTTGGGAATGTTACACATAAACCTTGTTTAGAATGTCACAATTTAGTATACTGGAATGTTACTTGAATTGCACAACTACTGTATACAACGTAACAATACAGCGTCAACAAGGAGAGAATGTGACAAAACGTTAAACTTAATATATACAAGTACACAGGGCTGCAATATTGTCTAGAAAATTATGAAATGGTTTGAAAACCTACAATAACAACACAATGGGCCA